CAAGTCTCCAGTCTTGTTGTTTTTTTGCAAGGGTCGAGTTGGCAATGCATCAAGTTCAATCTCCAGAGTCAAGTTGTCACCTTAACAACCACATAAGGAATGACCTTGAATGCAATGATTGATTATATAATGCCCTGCAGTTATATGAAATACTGTGTTTGGATTGACTGTTATCAGACACAGCTTGCCTAGCTATAAGTGAATCATTTTTAACAAATAGGTCAAGTTGCAGATTGATCAAATTGAAGGAGTAGGTATATCATGGATAAATACAACCTTACTAAGATGATAGGATAATTGAATATGATCATCAGAAATATTATAGTCCATTATTAAAACAATACATGAGTAACATTGTAATATTTGCTGTTGAGTGCCTTGTTGGTCTTACTTACTTTTGACAAAGTTTTAAAATCAATATCTTTGGAATCAGTCTGATGTTTACTCTTGATGTTTTAAGTCAAAGTTCGAAGTGAGTGTAATAAACTGTCGGATGTCAATGTTTATTTGAAGTGAGTGTATTAAACTGTCTGATGTCAATGTTTATTTGAAGTGAGTGTAATAAACTGTCTGATGTTTATTTGAAGTGAATGTATTAAACTGTCTGATGTCAATGTTTATTTGAAGTGAGGGTAATAAACTGTCTGATCTCAATGTTTATTTCAAGTGAGCGTATTAAACTGTCTGTTGTCAATGTTTATTTGAAGTGAATGTATTAAACTGTCTGATCTCAATGTTTATTTCAAGTAACATATTAAACTGTCTAATGTCAATGTTTATTTGAAGTCAGTGTATTAAACAGTGTAATGTCTAAGTTTATAATCACATTATGTTTTAAACTGTCTTATGTTTTAAACTGTGTGATGTCAAAGTTTGAAATCATTGTTTGAGGTTTGCTCTTGATGTTTTAAACTGTCTGATGTTTATTTGAAGTGACATCAGTTTCCTCTAGAATAGTATAAATACTGTTTTGATTCTTGTTGAAGTCATTACTGATCTGACTTGCCTAGCAATCACATCACAACTCTAAACAAACAAATGCAATGGATTCATACTCTATGCAAGAATCTGAAGCGTATGTAGTGTTAGAGAGAGACAACAGCCATGATTTGGAGGGAACTACTGAACAACTCGACGTTGCCTTTAGAAAATTCACAAGAGCATGTGACCAGCTGCTGTTGATTGATGACAAAGCCAAGATGGTAGAATTAAGATACCAACGAGCCAAGCTACACAAGAGAGAGGCACATCGCTACTCCCTGCGTCTACAACTATCAACACTCAGCAACATGAAGATGATGTTTTACCACTATGCAACTGAGATGGCTGCTGTAGTCGAGGACCTCAAGAGTAAAGTTGACCAGATGGAGACTCAAGATTCAGATGAAGAGTCTGAATATTCCTTCTTTGATGATGAGATGAAGCAATGAAGAATGAAGAATGAAGCAACAATCAACATGTATTGGAACTTCCATATTTTTGGGGATGCGATGGGACCAAAATGGTTTAGCGCAACATACCAAAACGGTCCTTTTAAGGACCACATATTCTTACAAAAGAGAAGTTAAATTATGAATAAACTATTTCTGCACAACTTTGGTTATATCTTTAAGATTTGATAAACATGATGAAATAACCTTTTCAGCCCTCTGAAAATGTGACTGAAAAATAGCTAAGAGTAGGTGCTCAGGAAAGGTCACCGAACAGAATCTTTAGACTTTTTCAGAAAATGTGCCTAATTTATTTTTCTAAATGATACAATTTTAAAAAATTTGATATCAATCTATTTGAAATCAATCTATTTTCCTTTTTACTACAGCCATTATAGTTTCAGACAATTTTTTAAATTACAAATATTGTATCATTTTGCACAGTAAGAACACTTGTATGACTTCAGTTATTTCATCATGTTTATGGTCATTCTGACCATTTCCATTGTGTTACCAGTCATGTAAATGATATGTGGAACTAGTTACTGACTGGAGGTCCAAACAGAACTCTGTTATCTTGGTCAAAATGTTTTCAAAATCCACCATGGTTCTGTCATTTTTTGTTTTGTCATTTCCTGTTAACTTCCATGGCACCTTAATTAATGGTTAATTTCCCGCATTGGTGGAAGTTAAACCTAGTCGTAGGCCACAACATAAGAAATACATTTGGATGGTTAGAAAGGCATAGATATGGGTGGTGGCTCTGGGAGGTGACACAAAGTCATGACATCGAAGTAGAATTATGCTATCATGTATCCATATTAATATATAATGGGACTTACGGGAACCATCAGTGAATAGATAACTATTCACTGATCTGTTCCCATATATAACCATAGCACTAAACCACTGATCCTAAATGCAAGGTGGCCATTGAACTTAAAGTGGACACATTTGGTATCACTATGGTTTTGGTGAAAAAAAAAAAAAAAAAAAAGAAAGACATAGAATTAGAATTAAGACACTGATAATACCAACAAGTTGATTATGAAAGTATTCAATTAAGTCATCATTGTTTCATTATTTAGGGTACAGTTAATATTTCTATGAGATTCAGTTTTTTAGGCAATTGATCTAGTAGCAGTTGTGTAGCAGATTGGTGATTTAGTAAGTATCTGCAATGGGCGATGAGGGGGAACCCGTACACAGAACAAACATCCCATAATGTGGGTGATGTCATATTCGTTTACCATCATCGACCAAAGAATTCAATTCAATTGATTCATAAGAATTAACATAATGCAGGTTCGATAAGATGATATCTCATTCATTAAAGAATCTTCACTCTATAAGAAATAATAGGTTGTGCAGCTGATGATTTGAGCTTTTTTTTTTTTTTATTCTTTTTTTTATATATAAACTTTTGAAAAGGGGAGAATGAAAGCTTCAAAATCTGAATGTAGTATTTCTGGGTCTTATTTTGTACATTGTCAGGTCATTGTATGTTGACAATATACTATAAAATATGTTAGTTACTAGGTATTTCTAAGGTTAGTGTTAGCTGTTAGGTACGACCAAGATGAAACTAGGGATTGGTTAGTGTGGGTACACCGACCCTTGTGACTTCCCCAAAGAGCCACCCATGACCGCCATCACTTGTTTCATCTACCTGGGAATATGATATTTCAATAGACATCACATCCTTGTTAGACTGGCCGATTTACAGGGACTACATGTTATAGAGAAACACTGTTTCTCCTTAGCCTCCCTCTGGCTAAATCTACACTACCGAAAGTCAGCCGACCTTCCTCCAATTTCTAATCAGGTCTACCGACCTTTATCTACTCTCTAATCAGGTCCACCGACCTTCATCTACTCTCTAATCAGGTCTAACGACCTTTCTCTGGTCTCTAGTCAGGTCTGCCGACCTTTCCCTAGTCTCTAATCATGCGACCTCTTAGCTTAATCTTTAAATCACACCTGTCGAATGTTAATCTACTCCCTAAACAAGTCAATCAGTTTTTACTCTTATTACTCTTTAAGTGTGACTGACAGATATGACTGATAAATCAACTTAGTTTACTCTCTGACAGATTATGGAATAGCAAAATTATTTTTGGAGGTATTCTATAAGATAACTATCTTTTGTCAAAATCTTCTATAATGTTAATCATCAGCACATGTTTTGGACTAGTAACTTGATACAAGTGTTATCCCTTTGTCAAAACCATTTTCTATAGCCTTGTTACATAATACCTGCGCTTTGTTCATTTTTGTTTTGTTTTTGTTTTTTAATTTTTTTAGATGTAACATATATTAAAGTAACTCTCTATCATTTCATCTAAAAATTAAAACCCTTGGAAATACTAAATATGGTTTAAGTGCCTTATATAAAAATTTATTTTAGAAATATTGTGGATCAAAATGAAAAAATAAATAAATAAAGAATAAAAACATATTCCACCCTTGGGATTCGAACCCAGATCTCTTGGATCTAACCACTACACCACAGTGCCAGAGCTTTCTGAAAGTAGAAATTCTTCATTTATATAATTATGGACGAAAAAAGTCTTATTTACATGCTTAAATTTCTTAAAAATGATCAGCATTACTACTAATAATAACATTTTGCATGTCTGAGTAAGTATTTTGATCTACATTTAGGATAAATGTTGTTTTATTCAGTTTTCATTTTGGGTATGACTTCCTGTCAAAACAGTGTTAAAAATGCAGGGCTCAACAAAAATTTTCAATTAGAAAATGATATATATCCTTTGATCAGCTGTTTTTGGCACCTGAACTCATCCTACTAGAAAGGTAAGAGCATTTTCTTGAGACATATGGCTCGAAATCTCAAATTTCTCCTTCTAAGTCTTAGAAAGACACTTTAACCAGATTATAAGTGGTGGTCCCTAGGAGGTACTGTCATCCAATATTTCTAAACTACCTATTTTTCTCCAAATAACAAAGGTAACTTACCAAAACATGGTGTCTTCTTATTATTACGCGTTAAATCCATGTACAACAAATTATTTGTAAAGAATACTCCCTGAATAAACATAATAGTCTAGTGTTGATTTCAATTTTCTCGTTCTATTCTTGCAAGGGTATGAACTCCACATGTCAAGTTATGTGGGTGCACAGTGCACTGCATTTAGGATAACTGAGGATCAGTGGTTTAGTGCTATGGTTATATATGGGAACAGATCAGTGAATACTGGTCACTGTGAGGCCCATAGTAGGTTGGCAAGTCTCCCCGGCCAAAAGCTAGTACTAAGAGCATTGTGCCATAGGCCTTAGGCATCTACTGAATCCATCAACAGAACATTCTGACAGGCATAGTTTCTGCTCTATCTGAACAGAATTTGGAAATTCAGAATTGAATTTGAAAAATGAAAAAATGTGGAATTTCATATTGAAAAAAAACACTCAAGAGTCGATTCTGCTGAAACCTGTCATATTGTACGCCTAAAACATATTTCCAAACTATCAGTAAGTATTCATGAAACTGAAATTATCATTTTGATTGAGAAATGAAGAAAGATTAACGAGGTAAATCATAAAACTTACCTGATTTCTTTTCTCAAAAATAAGCCATATCAGCACGAAAATTAGATTACATCTAGCCCAGCGCCATCTTTCAATAAAAATGGCGGTCAATCATGGTACAGCATTGTGTTTTTAGAATTGTGTCTTCCTTTTGATCTTATGATATTCCACATTATTGAGATTATCAGGGCTTGTATGATTTTGAATTTCCTGGGTTTTCTTCAAACTGTGTTTGGTCATTGGTGAATCTGATTGTTCAAGAATTCTGCTTCCTGTAATTGATGATTGTTCTATTTAAACATTAGTTAACCAGGTTTGCCGCCTTTGGTTGTCTCAGAATTAAGTTTGCCATTTGTTGTCCAAGAATAAGTTTGCCCCTGGTTGTCCGAGAATAAGTTTGCCCCTGGTTGTCCCAGAATCAAGTTTACTTCTGGTTGTCCCAAAATAAGTTTGTCCCGGGTTGTCCCAGAATTAAGTTTGCCCCTGGTTGTCCCAGAATCAAGTTTGCCTTTCATTGTCCCAGAATCAAGTTTGCCCCTGGTTGTCTCAGAATCAACTTTTCTCCTTGTTGTCCGAGAATCAAGTTTGCCCCTGGTTGTCCCAGAATAAAGTTTGCCCCTAGTTGTCCCTGAATTAAGTTTGCCTTACATCGTCCCAAAATCAAGTTTGTCCCTGATTGTCTCAGAATCAAGTTTTCTCCTGGTTGTCCCAGAATCAAGTTTGCTTTACATTGTCCCAGAATCAAGTTTGCCCCTGGTTGTCCCAAAATAAGTTTGTCTCAGAATCAACTTTTCTCCTGGTTGTCCCAGAATCAAGTTTGCCCCTGGTTGTCCTAGAATAAGTTTGCCCCTGGTTGTCCCAGAATAAAGTTTGTCCCTGGTTGTCCCAGAATCAAGTTTGCTTTACATTGTCCCAGAATCAAGTTTGCCCCTGGTTGTCCCAAAATAAGTTTGTCTCAGAATCAACTTTTCTCCTGGTTGTCCCAGAATCAAGTTTGCCCCTGGTTGTCCTAGAATAAGTTTGCCCCTGGTTGTCCCAGAATAAAGTTTGTCCCTGGTTGTCCCAGAATCAAGTTTGCCCCTGGTTGTCCCAGAATAAGTTTTCCCCTGGTTGTTCCAGAATAAAGTTTGCCCCTGGTTGTCCCAGAATCAAATTTGCTTCAGGTTGTCCCAAAATAAGTTTGCCCCTGGTTTTCCCAGAATAAGTTTGCCCCTGGTTGTCCCAGAATCAAGTTTGCCCCTGGTTGTCCCAAAATTTGCCTCTTTCTTGAATAATATTGATTGGTTTGCCTGGTGTTATTCACAAGGAAATAATGGTTGGGATTCTGACGAGGGAAGGATTGTATATTGGGTTTATCCTGAGGGATGATATGACAACCTGAAGGCTGCATCTGATATACAATCCCTTCTTCAGGATAACCTTTCACACCATGATCACTTTGATATTCAGAAAAAAACATATTAGGCCTATATTGGTATTAAATAAAAATACATATCTTTCCTACATTATAATAAAAAGAAATAATTAAGATATATACATGGTATATACCTGTATAGGAAATACTATATTTAAGTTAAGTTATTTTAATCAAAATGTCATTTACACCTAATATCATAGCGATCATGGTATAAATTGATACACTGGCCTTATCAAATATAACACAACAAAACAGATCAATTATAGCAAACTACATTTTATATTGTATTGTTTATTTCTTATGTTTAGATAATATCTTACTATGACATTATTTATCTATTTATTTGTAAGCTACACTTTTTGCATCGTTTAAAATATAATAGCATATTACTAAAAATACAATGTTCTAACTAAATCAGACATATTGAAAATGTTTCAACTTTTTTTTTTTTTATAAAAGGCATAGTATTTTAATATACAAACACAAGTTATACAAATGAATTAAATGAACAGATCAATTAGAGCAAACTACATTCTGTGCTGTTTATGCCTTATGTTAACGACACAGAAGGAAATTTTATGCTAAGAGCTGAATATGAACTAAAACACATTGAAAAATGTCTGAGTTGTTTTTATAAAATCAGTAGAAGCATTATGATATAAATTGACATAATATACACTCTCTCAAATATCAAATATCAGAAAATCAAATATATTAGAAAAGAGTTTGACATTTTTAACTATTTTTAGCACCAGTTTCAGTATGTTAAAGGCTGGTTGAATGAGATGTCTGCCCAGTGCAAATGGCACCAGTATGAAGTTGCATGTAAAATATCTACCCTTCTTTTTGAGAAACTAAATAAAATGTTTATAAAAATATACTATAATGATACAAAATTCTGGTCAAAATGAGTATATATACAATGCTACCCTCTTATATAATCATCTACAGCTCCCTGTAAGTTTCACTCGATATGTTCATATAATTACATCATATGTGATTTTTGTTTTGGAACCAATATGCATGGAACATGGAATTCTTCATTTGAGCATCCATATTGAAAATACTAGATAGATATTGAGTGTGACACTCCCTCTAATAAAATATAGTTCTTCACAAATATGTAAATCCAACATGGAATTCTTCATTTTAGAACCCAAATGATGAAAAGAGTTTGACATTTTTAACAATTTTTAGCACCAGTTTCAGTATGTTAAAGGCTGGTTGAATGAGATGTCTGCCCAGTGCAAATGGCACCAGTATGAAGTAATACTAGTCAGAAATTGAATGGGGCACACCCTCTAACAAAATATAGTTCTTCACAAATATATAAATTCAGCATGGAATTCTTCATTTTAGCACCCATTTGATGACAGAAACTGAGTGTGACACTCCTTCAAATACAATATAGTTTTTCACAATTATGTAAATCCAACATGGAATTCTTCATTTTAGCACCCATATGATGTTATACAAAATATTAGACAGAAACTGAGTGTGACACTCCTTCAAATACAATATAGTTTTTCACAAATATGTAAATCCAACATGAAATTCTTCATTTTAGCACCCATATAATGTTATACAAAATATTAGACTGAAACTGAGTATGACACTCCTTCAAATACAATATAGTTTATCACAAATATGTAAATCCAACAAGGAATTCTTCATTTTAGCACCCATATGATGTAATACAAAATACTAGACAGTATCAAGTGTGGCACACCCTCAAATAAAATATATAGTTCTTCACAAATATGTAAATTCAGCATGGAATTCTTCATTTTACCACACATATGATGTTATACAAAATACAAGACAGAAACTGAGTGTGACACTCCTTCGAATACAATATACAAATATAGTGTTTCACAAATATGTAAATCCAACATGGAATTCTTCATTTTAGCACCTATATGATGTAATACAAAATAATAGACAGAAATCGAGTATGACACTCCCTCTAATAAAATATAGTTCTTCACAAATATGTAAATCCAACATGGAATTCTTCATTTTAGCACCTATATGATGTAATACAAAATACTACAGTATCAAGTGTGGCACACCCTCAAATAAAATATATAGTTCTTCACAAATATGTAAATTCAGCGTGGAATTCTTCATTTTACCACACATATGATGTTATACAAAATACTAGACAGAAATCGAGTGTGGCACACCCAGTAATAAACTATAGTCCTTCACAAATATATAAATTCAGCATGGAATTCTTCATTTTAGCACCTATATGATGTAATACAAAATACTAGACAAAAACCGAGTGTGACACACCCTCTCACAAATATGTAAATTCAGCATGGAATTCTTCATTTTAGCACCCATATGATGTAATACAAAATACTGAAATTGAGTATGACACTCCCTCTAATATATATGTGATTTTGACCTCTTGTTAACTAGATACATTATTTAAGAACACTTACAAAAGAATGGTAAGTTTCTTTATCTTTGTTTTTCAACTTTCTCAAGTGAAATAGTAAAGTGTCTTTTCAAAGTACATGTAGTATTTGAAGAACACCAAAAGATACATGCATAAAGCTTACATATGAATTATTCACTGTAGCATGCTTTGGTATGTTCTTTTTACTTGTTTTTATTTCTTTTCATGTGAATTCTTTGCAGTGATATATGCTCACATTATATAGAACTACCTTTGTACATTATAATAGCCCTTATATGCTTCATCATGGTGTAAATCAGCTCAATACCTTTGCAACTACCCTTAAACTGTAAATGACTTTGCTGCCTGTGGCTTTTCATGCCGCTTCTCATGTACAACACACGTATCTTTCCGCTTAAAGCATCTGTCACAAATAGAACACTTGAACGGCCTTACTCTAATGTGAATATTTTCATGTCTTTGACAAAGAGGTTTTGATCTAAACAACTTTGCACAGTAAGAACACTTATATAATTTCTTCTTTGTGTGAATAATTTCATGTCTTAAGCAATTATTCCTTAGCCTAAACAATTTACCACATATGGAACATGCAAATGACTTCACCCCTGTATGAATCGATTCATGTCTTTTAAGCTCAAATTTGCGTCGAAACAACTTTGCACAGTGAGAACACTTGTGTGGTTTCACATCTGTGTGAATCAGTTCATGTCTTTTGCAATGACCCTTTTGTCCAAACAATTTTGCACAGTAAGAACACTTGTATGACTTCACCTTTGTGTGGATCTTCTTATGTGATATATGCTCACTTTTGCTTATGAACCTTTTCGTATCATAAGGCCCTTTATTTGCTTTCCTCATGGTGTGAACCAGTTCATGAACTTTGCAACGACTTTTAAACTGAAATGATTTTGCACAAAATTTGCATTGCCAAACAGATTTCCCCAGTTTGGAAGAAGTTCTGCCCATGCAATTAATCTCATGCAGTTTACGAGATCTGTCAAACTTGAATCCAGCCTTGCATTGGCCACATCGAAAGTCAGTTTTTTTACTATGGACTTTTTCATGACTTATGCAATCATATTTTATTCTGAATGTCTGAGTACAACTTTTACACTTATGAGGCTTTTCCCCAGTATGAAGTCTCTCATGCAGTTTTTTATCATGCTTATATTTAAATGCTTTTTGACAGTAAGAACATTTTTCTAAAGAAGTATCACCAACACAATATCTCTTATGGTGTTTTCGACTTTTAAACGGAAATGATTTTGAACAAAATTTGCATCGCCAAACAGATTTTTCCTGGCTGGGAGGAGTTCTACCTGTGCAATTAATCTCATGCTGTCTTCGCGATCTTTCATATTTGAAAGTGGTCTTGCATTGACCACACTGAAAATAAGTTTTTAGGGCAAAAGTTCTGCTCATGCAATCTTGCTCGTGCTGTTTACGAGATTTGTCAAACTTGAATCCAGCCTTGCATTTGCCACATTGAAAATCAGTTTTTTTACTATGGACTTTTTCGTGGCTTATGCAATCATATTTTATTCTGAATGTCTGAGTACAACTTCTACATTTATGAGGTTTTTCCCCTGTATGAAGTCTTTCATGAACTATTTTTTCACGGTTATATTTAAATGATTGTTGACAGTACGAACAGGGAAAACATCCCTTCTTATTTGTTTTATCAACATGTGTTACTTCTTGTTCATTGTCAGCACTGTCTGATCCAGAAAAGCTCAATGTAAGATCCTCTAGGACAGGGAAAAATTCACCTGCATCATTAACAGGGTTTGGATTTGCAGTTTTAGAGACATCTTTAGTTGTTTCCAACTCAATTTTATTTGTGCCTTGCTTATCAAAATCTGTTATCTTAGCTTCATTTGTAGCCAGTCCACTTTCATGTGTATCACTATCTGTCGCCAAATCATTTTCATTTGAAACTGAAACTGGTTTGACATGAGCAACCACCTCTTTCCAAAATGACCCGAAGTGTAACTTTGTATGCCTTTGAAGGTTTGTTCTTCGCGCTGTTGTGTAACTACAGAACTCACAACCAAAGTTCATGACTTTCTTATGCCGTTCCATGTGATTGGTAAGAGCTGCTTCTTTAGTTGTACTAAATGGGCAAAGTGCACATATTTTGGTTGTCTCTTCAGATGGCAGAATGATATGGCTAGTGATATTACAGATAGGTTCATTAATTGGTTTTGACTGTGTTGTAATGTGGTGTTTTGACATATGGTTCTGGAGTCTTGCTGCAATCGAGTTACTGTAAGAACAGATGCTACAACTGTAGGCTTTCTTAGCATGATGACACTTTGTGTGGTATTTATAATTTGAGGATACATTTGTTGAATATTCACACGCAGTACACTTGTATTGCCCCCTCACAGAGAACGAGCTGCTTAGTCTCCTATTTCTGCATCCTTGATGCCATTTAAGATGTCTCACCAATGATTTCTTGTTCGAAGTACTATATGTGCATTGTGTACATGAGTGTTGACTCTTTACTTTGTGGTGTATGAGATGGCGTTTCATGAAACCTGTGCATTTTGTTTCAAATGGGCATACTGGACAGCTTATTAAACTTTGATTTTCTCCTTCAGATTCATAATCCAATGAGCACTCAGTTATATCTAGTGATTCAGTGTTGGACTGAGCATTTTTATTATCTATGACAGCAACATTGCTTACTTTGTTACATACACTTCCAACGACTGCACTGTTGTTCAATCTTTTATGTGAATGCATGTGTGCTCCCATATGTGACTTTCCCATTCTTCCATTGATATCATCAACTCCTGAAGATGTAACACTAGCAGTGCAAGTAGTGTCTACTGGTGGCTGTAACAATAAATTCACCAAATGCGGATTTGCAAATATGTCCCCATTAGGTTCACTTGCTTTGACTGGAACTCCCTCAAGATTAGGCTGTTTAACCTTTTTTGAAGTATCATGCAATAATTCTGTTTTGTCTGCAACAGGTTTGGTTGCATTCATTGAAACTCTCGCAACTCTTGACCCTTCATCCTCTTTTGAAGTCTCGAGCAATAATTCTGATATGTCTGCATCAGGTTTTGTTGCACTCAATGAAACTCTTTCATCATTAAACCCTTCATCCTCTTTTGAAGTCTCATGTAATAATTCTGATATGTCTGCATCAGGTTTTGTTGCACTCAATGAAACTCTTTCATCATTAAACCCTTCATCCTCTTTTGAAGTCTCATGTAATAATTCTGATATGTCTGCATCAGGTTTTGTTGCACTCAATGACACTCTTTCATCATTAGACCCTTCATCCTCTTTTGATGTCTCAGGAAATAATTCTGCTATTATCTTCACATCAGGTTTGGTAGCATTCATTGAAACTCTTTCATCATTAGACCCTTCATCCTCTTTTGATGTCTCAGGCAATAATTCTGTTATGTCCGCATCAGAATCAGTTGTTTTAGTTGAGACTCTCTCAAAACTAGACCCTTCACCCTCTTTTGAAGTCTCAGGCAGTAATTCTGTTAACATACTGGCATCTGTTTTTCCGAAACTCTGTTTACATTTAGTTTCTGTATTACTGTGGTACTTTTGATGATTTTCTACCACACGAGGGGTATCACTAGAATATACACATAACCTACATTTAAACTTTTTATCATGAGTGTGACATTTCTTGTGTTTTGCCATCCTATACGTGGAAGCTGTCTCGAAATCACATAATGTGCAATATAATGTACATTCCCTCGAATCTTTAGGTATGTCATTTTTATTAAATTCCTCTATCTGTTTGATTTGATCATTATCAGTTATAATTTTGTCTTCAGCAACTTCTAAATCAATGCTGAGATAAGTTTCATTCACAGATATCATATTTGCGGACACATCGATTTCTTGTTTTCTTGTCAGATCGTCTCCAAGTACATCATTCCTATTCTGCATGGTCATTCCATTAGAACTGCAATCCACAGTTGAAGTTTCAGAAATATTTCCAGATAAATCTGCTATAAAGCCACTATTATGTATTTGGCCATAGTCTTTTTGCACATCATCATCACAACTGTGTTCACATGCTTTATCATCAACTAGCTCTTCAGGCTCGTGACTTTCTTGATGAATATCTTCAACATAATGATCTGAAGATTCATGTTGCTTAACTTTTAGTTCATTCAGTGATGCAAAAGAACACTTTGAGCAACTGAATTGTCCTAATTGCTTGTGGCATCCAATGTGTCTATTGAACCTTCTGATATGTTTGTCTTGATAATTGCAATATGGACAATTTCTGATCTTGTTAGTTGATTCTTCTAAGGATGACAAAGAAGTATCACTTTCCCTGAAGCAATTTTTCTTAGATTTGTATGTGCTCCTCTCAGATATCAATTCCGGATGTAATATCTTCTCATGATTATGATACAGATTTGAATTTGAATCAAGAGAAAAGGAACATTTTCTGCATTTATACCGCCTTCGTTGTACATGGTATTTTTTATGAGAGTTGAAAAGTTTTTCTCTTTTTGTTGAATATGGACACATGGAACAATTATATCTATACATTTTCTTTGGAGTCTCTGAAGGCACTTGAACTGAATTAATATGTAAACTAACACATGTAGTATTTTTATCTCTGCATTCCATTTTGATATCCTTGTCATCAAGTGAATCAAAACCATTCTGATCTTCATTCCACTCAGCAGAGGTAATTTTATTCACACCTTTTACAACTGGTTTAACCTTTTCATTTTCACTGATTGACTTAGCTTTAGACAAAACAGTACAACTTTTTGGTTTGCTATCGCTTACATCAGATGGCATTACAGATGATTTAGTTGAGAATATTCTGTTATCATCAGAGGTATTGTTCTTGTTGCCATGAAAACAATTAATGTGAATGTTGATCTTTAGTTGGCTGTTGCTGGAAAAACTACAATTCTTGCAAGTGAACTTTCGTTTTACTGAATGATACCCTGAGTGTTGCATAAGTTTTCCACTTGTATTGGTTTTGAAATTACATTCAGAGCATTGGTAAAGAGTCTCCCCTTCCTTTTCCTGAGTTGAAATATGTGATTCTGGATGGCTGGTGTTTACAATAACAGCATTGATTCCCTCACCAGATTTAGCCTTTGACTCCTGAACATCATGTTTAAAAATCTGCTCGTATGTTTCATTAGGCATCTCCTCATTCCCCTTTTTAATCATGCCCGTTTGTTTTGTGTTCAAGTTGCTATTTGGGCGATGTGATCGTGCCATGTGAACACTTATCATCCACTGTGTACTTGAGGTGAAACTACATCTTGAACAGTTGAAAGTCTTGCCACTGTTGTGAAGTACAGTATGCAGCATTAATTTCTGAGTTGTATTGGTAGTATAGTTACACTTAGGACATTGCAAGGCATTTACATTTGCAATGTCTGCAGTATCATCTTTCATTACATGAACATTACAATCTATTTGTTTTTTCTGCACATTTTCTTTGATCTTTTCAAAGATATTGGCTGAATTGTGCTTGTCACTTGTCACTTCATTGGTTTGAACTTTGTTTAGTGAGGTGACGTTTTCTAACTTTTTCTTGTCAATATTTTTGGCACCCTCATGGTGCCACTTTTTCATATGTATTTCAAGTATCTTAGGCCAGTTGCTTGAATATGTGCAAATCTTGCACCTGAATGTAGACTTGATCGTATGGCATCGCTTATGAGACTTCATACTGCTTGGAATTTTACATGTAAAGTTACATTCTGTACATCTGAATAGAACTCTCTTTGTGGCAGGCATCATCTTATGCTTTCCCCCTTTCAATTCTTTCAACTTGATATCATGATATCTCTTAATATGTGTTCTAATATGGCCTTTCACATTACTTGAATATGTACAATATTCACATTTGAATTTGGACTTGATGGTATGGCATTTCTTATGGCATTTCCATATTTGTGGATTTGTGCTTGAAAAATGACACTCTGCACATTTAAACACATGAACATTTTGCAATGATTTTGTATTATGATATCTCTTTATATGTGTTCTAACATGGCCTTTCACATTACTTGAATATGTGCAATATTCACATTGGAATTGTGACTTGATGGTATGGCAATTTTTATGATGGTTCCATGTTTGTGGGGTTGTGCTTGAAAAGTTACACTCTTCACATTTAAACACATGAACATTTTGCAATGTTTTTGTATTATGATATCTCTTTACATGTGTTTTAACATGGCCTTTCACATTACTTGAATATGTACAATATTCACATTTGAATTTAGACTTGATGGTATGGCATTTCTTATGGCATTTCCATATTTGTTGATTAGTGCTTGAAAAGCTACACTCTTCACATTTAAATACATCAACATTTTGAACTCTTTTTGTGTCAGTTCTTGGGTCAAGTTCATTTCTTTTCACATTTTTTATACTGAAATGGTGGTGGTGGTCCTTCATATGTCTTTTAACATGGTGTTGACTATTACTAGAAAATGTACATTGATTGCAGTTAACCTTTGCCTTAACAATGTGACACATTTCATGTAATTTTAGATTCTGTAGATATTTACTGTTATAGCCACACTCTTTACACGTGAATACCTTTTTAGGGATGTCTTTCCTGTATCCATCTGTTATTGGCTCAACTTTTTCTCTTCTATTTTTCTTTCCATTCAAACTTGTGTGACTGTTATTGTGATATTTCTTGACATGTTTTGTAACATGCTGCACAAGTTTACTGGAAAATGTGCAATGCTTACATTGGAATTTTAATTTCATTTTATGGCATTTCAGACGATCTGTCAAATGCGACTTATCAACAATGCTCAATCCTTTGGCCATTGTTCTTTTAAGTTTTGTATTGATTGCATTAGAATCACTTTTATGTACCCTCCGCTCATGCAGACCTAAGACCCACTGTTTCTTGCATGAGTAGGTGCACATATTACAACTAAACTTAGACGTGTTTACATGATGTGTCAGATGTTCCTTCAAATGTTCCTTATTTATTGTCATAAATGAGCAATGAGTACATTTGAAGTATTTGTCATTGCTGGGTTTTGTAATTGTTTTCTTTGCTTTTAACTTGACAGATTTCTCTAAAGGTGTGCATCCAAATTCAGTAAATTGACCTCGAGTTTCATAAAATTTTGGAATGTCGCTGTTACTTTTGTTTTTAGTCAACTGATCTTGAGTTTCAGGTAACTTTGGTTCATCACTGTTAAATGTTTCTGCTTGGGCAGTAATTGGTTCAATTGGGATTGCTTGAGAAGAAATATCATCTTGATGTTCAGTATTGATTTCATTCTGTCCAAAAGTTTTGAGTGCAGTAAACTGCTGACTGTTGAAGAGTTCCAATGGAATTGAGCATGAATAAATCTCTCGATTTTTGTCTGTGTCTGTGCTTTTGTTTTCACTGATGCATGGCATCTCTTGTATTTCAAGAAGTGGTGCTGTTTTACTCATTGAATTATTCACATTCAATAATTTGTTCATTTCAAGGACAGGTGGGGCGCCTGTAGCATTTGATATGTTGCGAACACTGAACTCTTCATCATTTTCACACTCATCATCACCTTGAATATTAGTATGTCTTTTACCAAGTCCATCTGTGCTTGTTTCATGGCTGTCTTTTTGAATGGTTTTATTCTGACTCTGATCGCTTACGTTGTTCTGGATTGATACATATGCCTTATCCTCAACACTTTCAGGTAGCTCTGTTGTTGGGAAATCATGACAATCACTAATGTCATCATTTTCCACGTCTTGCATTTTTGTGATTTTCTGCTCTTGTTCTGCACCATCATTTTGTATTTTCATTATCTGAACATCAGTTTTCCCAATAATCTCATCAATATTAGCCTCTACATTTATATCATATTCTTTTGTTTTCTTCAGATCGCATGGATTACTGTCAATTGTATCATTATAGTTTCTATTGCAGGATGCATTCCCGGATTTGAGAGATGTTCTATCAATGGGTTCTATTATTGAGTGTTTTTCATGGAGGTCGTCATTCACAGACATATGAGTGGTGATTTTAATAGGATTGAATTGTACAGTTTCACTCTGAGGCAAATCCATTTGGATCTCTTGGTGGATACTGACTTTTGGAACCTTATGTAGTGAACATTTTTCAGGTGTACTTGTGCACAAACATTTTGAGATTTGTGTATTGGTGATATGAGTATCCTCATTGCACTGGTTGCTTTCTTCTAATGAGTTAAATATATCTTCAGCTGTGGTTACAGATCTAACATCAACTATCATAGATGAAGTATCATCCATTGTTCCACAATTATCATTTTTACTCATTCTTGGTTCATCTCCTTTCTCCTTGATTTCACCTTCATCAAAATCAGCAGGCTTTACAGCATTCTTCTTTTCCCCTTTTCTATCAATTAATGTGTTTTCATCTCCTTGTATCTCCTCTATATCAAATGCCTCATTGTTGTTTTCAACCAAACCTTTTTCAGACTCATTATTTTCATTTGTTGTTTGTTGAACATCTTTAAGTTTCTGCAGATTGCTCATGTTTACTTTCTTGAAATCATTTGAGTTCAATGTCTGCAGGTCTTTATTGTTATTCTCAGTTGTCTGCACATCTTTGTTGTTGTTCACAGATGCCTGAAGATCTGTGTTGTTGTCCCTGGATAACTGCAGATCTCCCTTGTTATTAACAGATATATATGTGTTATTATCCTCCGATGTCTGCAGATCTAGGACATTATTCATTGATGTCTGTATATCTTTACTGCTATCATTGGAAGTCTGCATATCTTTATTGTTATTCACAGATGTATGTAGGGCTGTGCATTTTGTCTGCAGATCTGGGTTGTTATTCATCGATGTCTCACAATCTGTACTGCTATCCTTGGAAGTCTCTACATCTTTATTGTTATTTATAGATGTTTGTGTTTCTCTGTTACAACTCATGGATGCCTGAAGATATTTATCACTATCCCTGGTTGATTCCTTGTTATTATGACTTGGTAGTATCTGCCTATGTTTACAAAGCTTGTCATTGATGTCATATTTGGAATCTGCTTCAGGTTTATGCACTTGAGCTGCTGAGAAACACAATAAAGGAACTGCAGGTTCAATGGTCACCTTTTGGGCTATTGGTTTAACTCCATTTCCCATAGCCAATTTGAGCTCCTTCCCATGATTCTCATATGATTTCTTTATTTCATCTCCTCCAGTCTTTTTGTCATAGCATGAGCTTGCTTTTGCAGTTATAGGTTTTGTAATATCAATATTCAATTCATTACTACTAGATTCAGATATTATTGACTTGGAAGTTTCCAAATTATCTTTGTGAGAAGGCTTGGTTTTCCACTGTTCAAACATGTGAAATGTAGAGGATTTAGTTCTATGTTGGCTGTGGATTATTTTATCTGATATAACCTGTGTATTGTTCCGAATATCCCCTTCAATGTTTGTAGAGATATGTCTAATGTTTTGGATATAAGGAGTTTCGGTATTCAATGTTTCAGATCTTGAACTCCTTTGTTCATTGATGGCTTCAGAAACTTGATCTATTGCTCTCAGTGTAGAAGTTGATGGTTCATCTCTATAAAGTTTGGTCATTATACCTTTTTCCTTTTTCTCTTCAATAGGCATAAAGCCTTCTAAGTCAGTTTCACAAGATAGGAATTCCTTGTCAACTGGCTGAATGATATCATTTACCAGTTGGAGTTCTTTTTCTTCTAAGTGATCATTACTACCTATAGTCTCTGTAACCTCTCCAACATGTTGTCTGTCGTCTTCATCTTGCTCTACATTTTGACCCGTTGACTGACCATTACTCATGTTGGGCTGTTCTCTATCTACAAGTAGCTGTTTAATCTTTTCTATTGGCTCTTCATTTACTTCTTTTGGCAGTTTATTGTCTCCTTTAGACACCGTATCATCTATTCTTGGCTGTTCTGCATCTTCTCTAGACTGTTCATTTCTTTCATTTGGCTGAGTATTACCAGCATGATCACCATTTAAAGGTTGTTCTTTCTTTTCTGTTGAAAATACGTTTTCTATTATTGGCTTCTTTCTTTGCTGTTCATCAACTTCTTTTAAATCAATATCATTAACCTGTTCACCCGTATCAACCGCTTGCACATTTTCTTCTAATAAATCTAAAGTATCAACCTGATTCTTTGTAATAATGGATTCGATTGTATTATTGGACTGACTTGAACATGCATTGTTCATATAAAACTGTTCACCTTGCTTGATGGCAGTGGATTGATTAGAATAAGAACACATTCTAAAATTTCTAGATTAATTGCTATTATGTTTATACATATTTTCATAACCTATGTGACTAACATTCATGTCTCAACCATCTGACTTTTGACTTATAATAGAGAATGACCTTTGATATCAAATACGAGTTTTTGATTAAAGCATTGGGTCCAATTGATCTTCTCTAGTTGATTTAATTCTTTAAAGATGTATTGTCAATGTAATTATGGAACCTCTTCATTGATACCAGTACTTGATTAAAGCATTGGCCTCATTTGATCTACTCTATTTGATTCAATTCTTTAAAGATGTATTGTCAATGTAATTATGGTACCTCTTCATCAATACCAGCACTTGATTAAAGCATTGGCCTCATTTGATCTACTCTATATGATTTGTTTCTATTTGAGGTGCATCGTTAATGTTATTATGGTACCTGCTCATTGATACCAGTACTTGATTAAAGCATTGGCCTCAATTTATCTACTCTATGTGATTTATTTCTATTTAAGGATATAATTGTCATTGCTATTATGGTACCTCCTCATTGATTGGTTAGATGTCGTTATCTGCTAAATCACTATATCATAAGTGTCCCAATGTGGCTGTAGTTATCTTCAGGAATATAATTGTCATTATCACTTTGGTTGTCTTTGTCTGTGTTATTAGTGTTATTAGTTAATGAGATTCCACATCTATTGTTGCATGGAGGGCACCCACTGTCTCGTGTTGATTAGGTGATCTGAAAGTAAAATTAGAAAACAGGTAATAACATCCTGCTCTAGACAGCCATTTTGAATTTTCTGAGACACATCAGAAAACAATGCCATAATTGTTATTCTAATATTCCTTCAATTTTAGTATAACCTAGCAATACTTTGATGAGAAAGCCTGAATCGAATAAGCGATACAATATTTGCAATCTACTCTAAATTGCCTTTCATTTGAGTATAATTAGCTATATTTCAGAAAGATCTCAAAATTAGCGAAAGTTCGTGTTTTCCCTCAGAGTGAAAACACGCAATACATGTGAAAGATAGATGTTGTGATTGTGAATATACTTACAAAATTTCAAACAATAATATTTATTGCTTTGGTTTGTAATGAAAATCTTAATATTTTTGGGAAAAACTACCGCTATTTCTAAAGTGGTGGCCATATCTTGACGAATGGACGGATGGATGGAGTGACGGACAGATGGATGGAGGGCTTCACTATATCCCTACTGAACTTTGTTCATTGGGAAAAATAGCCATAAAATCATGACTATTGAGAATAGACCAATGAAACTTGGTAGAATGTAAGAAGATTGAACAATGTTTAATTATAAATATGACCCTTTAGATCCAGTATAAAACATTGTTCAGCTAACAACTTCACAAAATCTGGAGCGAAAAGTCACCAACCTAGTACTGTCTAATTCGTAAAAATGTGTATTTTTCTCACATATTTCCAATAATTTTGCCTGTTTTTTCACTTGTTTTGTCTGTTTCCAGATTTTTTGGAAATCCCTATGTATGTTATTACTCCCTTACTGCTTCCTGGTCAACTCAACCCCAAGTCAACTCAACCCAAGTCAACTCAACCCTTAGTCAAGTCGACCCCAAGTCAAGTCGACCCTTAGTCAAGTCGACCCCAAGTCATCTCGACCCTTAGTCAACTCGACCCCAAGTCATCTCAACCCTTGGTCAACTCAACCCTTAGTCAAGTCGACCCAAATGATTTTACTTGTTTTAAGTAGATTAAAATACAATATAATCCAATTGTTTGTGCAGTTTGATTTGAAATCAAACTTCAAAGAAAAAAACATTTCTGTCACCTATAGATCAAAACGAAGATTTAAACTGGATCATAAAATCCCAATCTGATTGTTTATGACACCTGACATATGAGTAAGATAATGGAAAATAGAAAAACATAAATCCCATTGTTTGTCCAGTCTTGTTTTAAAATCTTACTTCAAAAAAAATAAACATTTCTATCGTCTGTAGATCAGAAGGAAGATTTGAACCGGATCATATTGTTTATTGTTTATTATTATTATCAAAATATAAAATCATTCAATACAAAGTAATGGATGGATGTTGGCACAATGCACATGTTGCATAAGTTACCTGTTGTCAAAAATACTGTTGCAACAATTTCGGTATAACAGAAAAGTGTATAGATAATTTTTTTTATTTCAGAGAGATTAAACAAGCTCAAATATGAAGGGGTGAAATATATGTTTAGCATCGTGAATAGTCCTATTAAGATTAAGATTAATCAAATATTATTTTGTTATTTATAAAAATTATAAATGCGTTAAGCACAAACTTCAATAGGTGATAATTTTATTTTGGAAAATTAGCATTTTAGTCCCTCATTCTTTCAAAATTCATCAATATCATACCATGAAAATAGTATATCTATTTGTTTTTTATGGTGGGGTCGAGTTGACTAAGGGTTGAGATGACCAAGGGTTGAGATGACTTGGGGTCGAGTTGACTAAGGGTCGAGATGACTTGGGGTCGACTTGACTAAGGGTCGACATGACTTGGGGTCGACTTGACTAAGGGTTGAGTTGACTTGGGTTGAGTTGACTTGGGGTTGAGTTGACCAGTTACCTCCCTTACTTACCTTGATGGAGTCGATCTCAAATGGATGATAAAAGCATTTATGGCCACTATTCATCTTTATAAACTGGGTGCAAATTGGATTCCAAGAGACCAATCAGTATCATTGTGGCAACGTTTAAATTTCCAGCTCTGGTGCTGATATGGCAGGCTACAATTTAAAAATAAAAATTCAAAATTATACAACATTCAACACTTATTTTTGTAATTACTTATTCAAGATATGTAGAGCAATACAAATAAGACTTGCAAGTGTTGGAGAGAAGACAACAACTAAATGGTAACTTTATGACCATCAGATGACGTAATATTAGCTGAACCTTCAAGACTGCTAAATGGCTCCTTGACTACAAGATTACTACTTGACTGCAACTTGATGACATATTCAGAATAATATGGTACTACTGTACTTCTACTTAATTTGGCGGTTGTTTGAATTTGGCGCCAAATTGTTAAAGTCTGCCAAATTAAGTAGCCGCCAGTACTTCAGTAGCCCCAGTACTTCAGTATGTTCAGTACCATGTAAATTAGTACATTGTAACATTGCTAGTCTGCCAAATGGTAGCTGCCAAATGTTCGAAACAGCAAATCCGCCAATTTAACGAAGTAGCACCAAATTAAGTATAAGCACAATATTCCTTAACCACACTATTCCCCCTCAATATCATTTGAACATGTTCCCCAGTTAAACAAGAAAGACATCACAGCCTCTGTAAATGTACTAAATCACAACATATGATAGAAGTTGATTTTCTATCCACCTAATACAAATTCTATCTATTAGTCTCAAGTGAGTCAAAACCAAACAATTTTAGTTGCAGCAAATGTTTTTCAACTGTTCCACATTTTAAACTTGGTCAAGAAGTGTATTCAATTCAATGGGGAAATCACTGGTTTATGATTACTGTATTCTCTCTAATGAACGCACAGTTCCAATGAGTGCACATGCAACTTTTGTGATGAAAATGGTCTCAAGAAAACATGAAGTTTAATGCATTAGTTTAAATTATTTACATAACAAGATTTCGATTGATGATCATATTCAATGGAGAGAAAGAAATGCAGGAGCTGTACTGTAGAGTATGTATACCTAAGTTTTTTTTTTAATAATAGATATTCTTTATTTCTTAAAATCATAAATAAATTTACATTGTTGTTCACGGCGTAATCGCCCAGAAAGGGCATTTCTACTGCCGCTTTGGCAGTAAACCTAAGTGATAACAACTAAATTATACGAGACCTTTTATCTCATTTTTTGGGTTTGTGCACATAATAGAATTTCTTGATATCTTACCCCTTATTTGGGAAGCGCACTGTGCGCTCATTAGAGAGAATATGGTATGATTGTCTTACCTGTATTTCAAACATGATTCCCTCTCTCTTTGTTTATTTATCAGTTGTCCTGCTCCCCTAGAGTTCTAGCCTTCCTCAATAGTTTTTGAATCTGGAATGAAGTTAACAATTAACAGACATCAACATTTCAGAGACACTGCATCTTTAAAAGCTTGGGATGATGACTTTTTCTGGAATTTGGAATAGACTTTTCAGATACAGTATTATGTTTTTTCTCCTCAAATATGGCACTCAGATATGCTGGGATCTAAGAAGATCTAGAGATGTACCCCCCCCCTTGGGTGGGCTAAAAAATCAAAAAATTAAGGCCCCAATTAGAGGGCATTTGTGGGCATTACTGGGCCTTTTAAGGCCCTATTTCTTAATTTTAGGCCAAATTATTTAGAAATTGGCCTTAAATTTTGGGCTAATTTTTAGTTGTAGGGGCCCATGTTGAATCTTGTGCAGGCTGTGGAGTCTGTCATAATACATTGTAATATTGTCTTGTTTCATATAATAAACTGTATAATGCCAAAAAATCAAAAGTCTCGGTTTGGATAACAGTCTACTGGGCTAATACATTTTTTATGAAAAATATAGAAATAACATCAAAATTAAATTATGAATACTCAAAAGAGGACATTTAAATCTACAATATGTAAAAATATCAAAATTGTCCAAAGCAGGCGTAACGTGCAGTAGACTAGTGAACTTCATTCTCCAAACTGAGACTAGTCCTTTAGAGTTGTATTATGCAATTGTGAAGTGATTCTATATCATGAGACGTACACTGCAAATAGAAAGTCATTGATTATAACTTGACTATGGAACAATGTCTACACTTGGGAGTTGGGAATTGGGATGCAATGTCTATTTAGTCTCGACAAGTCAATTAGCTTCTATAGTCATATTAGGGCTGAGACATCTGTTTTATTTGTCTCTGATTAGGGATAAATTTCTGACTCTGAAATCTGGTAACATGTCAATCACCCAGGTACCAAGTTACCCGGCCACCCAGTTTTTATGAGAAAGCCCGAGGGGTTCAATGTATATATCCTTGGCATGGATCTTTTG